TGGGTGTCATGCCCCGGTGCGCAGCAGTGCAGGACCTGTCTCTTATACACATCTAGATGTGTATAAGAGACAGCTCTCTCTCTCTCTCTCTCTCTCTCTCTCTCTCTCTCTCAATTCCCTCCCCTCCCCCCCCCATCTTCCTCTCTGTGGACTGCTTCTTGTATATGTCCGACCTGTGGGTAGAACCTGTTTCCTCACTGTGAATTGTGCATTGCTTGGCTACCATCCCCTTCTCTAACCGTTGTTCACACCTCTCTCTAGTGTGGGCAGGCATTCCCTTTTCTGCCATCCTGTTGCGTTGAGATTGTGGAGTGCATTTTCTCCAGCTGTGTGCAGTGTGTGCAAACTACTACAGCGCTGTCAGCTTTTCAGGTGAAACTTGAAACTTGTTTCCTTTTTGCGTTTTGCCTACGGTCTGGTGTGAATGATGTTGATTCTGCTGGTTCACGAATGACGACGCTTGGCTACTTGGATCTTGACCAGCCTCTTGCTATCTGCTCAGAGAACCACGTGGCTCACTGGAGCCTTCATCCCATGCGACTGTGTAGGTGCCCTGATCTGTGATAGATGCATTCTACTCACAGTTGCGTAAGTTCTCACTTTGTGATCCCCCCCTGTGCATGGCAACCTGCTCCCTGGTGCAGACATGAAGAGACTATCCGATGGAATCTTGGATATCGTCAAGCAGAAGGCCTTGTGCCAGTGGCATGGGGATAGTGACGCTGAGTTGGAAGAGGAGGAGGATGAGGAGGAAGAGCATGATGAGGTGCTGATGGATGCAGCAACTGATGTGTTGCCTGCCATGGCATCACTAATGGGTGCATCCTTCGAACCCGTTTTCAGAGAACACTTTGAGCCCTTAACGAAGTTCATGGTAAGTGCACTTTGAGCCGATTCACTTTTTCAGTCACGGAAACCGAGATGAAATGAGACTCGTTATAGACGCCAGTAGGTCTGAAAAGTTTTCAAGTCGTATCATGTGTCCCGTTCCCGGAACCGGAATAGGAACCGGACTGACGCTCCCCAGAATAGAATGAGCCAGGACCACAAGGCCCTGTTAAAAAAAAAAAAAAAAAAAAGTCGTATCATGTGTCAGATGGGACAGATCTGTGCAGGCTCGCTTAGGGTGCAATTGGCAGAGGCAAGGTGATACGGTATGGCGGTTCAGTTGGCCACATTAGGCATCCATCAAGGTGGTGCGGGATTTCAGTTACCCAGCTCAGGCCTCGTAAAAGTCTGTTTGAGTTTTGCGCTCGAAATCCGATGTAGAGTCGTTGTAGACCAGGTGTTCATGGTGTTGTGGATGATATGCAGGTTGTTGCATGTTGCGCTCTAAAAGTCGCATGCTACACATAATGTAGGTATGTGTATGATGATTTCTTTGGGATCAATGGTGCTATGTGGAGCAGCTGGAAAGTGCGGTTCGTAGATACTGTTTGTGTTATGCGTCGTGAAGTACTGTGTTTTTTTGTCAGCACTTTCTGACGCTGCGGATTGATCCGCGCACACACGTACATGGAATCGGGACCGGCACCATTAGCCACAAAAGCCATGTCTCTGAGCCGCCACAGCCAAGTCTCTCTTGAAAGTAATGCACTCAACCTTCTCTGCTGATTTCCGGACTGTGTCACAGAAGAAACGTGTTTGTTTGGGTGGGATGGACTGTTGGCGGGTGAGGGCACAGGGAGGGAAGATCAAGTTAATGCACCAGTACATGGCCCTCACACGTCCTCGTTGAGAGTCCGATTGAGTGTCTCCTAAAATTTCGGAGATGAAGTTAATGCACCAGTACATGGCCCTCACACGTCCTCGTTGAGAGTCCGATTGAGCGTCTCCTAAAATTTCGGAGGCTCTCGCGCGTCCTTGATAAAATAAATCGATGGCGGGCGGCCTCTGAAAGGGGGCCCGCAGCAGCCGATGGCTTGCATGTATTGGTGGTTTAAGGTAGCAAGAACAGGGAAATAGGTGCTGTATTTGGCAATTTTTTTGAGCTCTTGTGGATTGTTTTTTGTCCCAGAGGGGCATGCGGAATAAAGATTAGGTGCCGGAAGCAAAAACAGGGAAAGGACTGCATCAGGGATTGAGTTGTTATGTACGTGTTCTGTTTTTTTGGTCGCAGAGGCCTTCACGCCCAGCAAGCGATCATACTATGGTCATTGCATGTGTTGCGGAGGTTGCCAAGTACATTGGCCCTGCCATCCAGCCCTACATTGAAGTGAGTTCTGGTCTTCTCTTCATCAAGCCTATTTTGTCATCATATGTGCCCTCTCCCCCCCCCTCCCCGCCCCCTAGGTTGCTCTCTCAGAAAAGTCAGAAGGCAGATCCTTTTTTTCTTATTTTGGCGTATTCAGGGCACGCTCACACTAGGACCTAAAGTTGGCAAAAAAAAACTCCGTAGCCTTTGCGATCGTCAATTTGCAGATTTGCACCTCGGCCGAGTGACACTGGTATCCCCATTTTGAATGAGACGGGATTGCGGTGTTGTCACTTTTCTGTGAATTTTACTTACTTCGGTCAAAAGTGTAGTCATGCAGCAAACTTGCGCTCTTCTTTTTCTTTCTCGGGATTTCCTGGCTTCCGTCTACGGCGGGCTTTGTCTTTTTCTGTCCGTTGATGCTGTTTCTATGAAACATATTTTCCCCCTTTTTTCTGTCCGGTGATTTTGCGATCGCCTCTTCAAGAGTGACAGCAAAAAGAAACGGCATTTGCGATTTTGGTGGCTGAGGTGGCACTGTGTGAATGAACGAGAGTCTCAATTTTGAATTTTGAGAATTGGTGACTAAAGGTCCTAGTGGAAGTATGCCCACGTTTTTTATTTCCTCTGCTTTTTTTTTTTCTTTTCTTTCTTGTCATCCTTGCACAGGCGCCATATGCTAATATTCTCTGTGTTTTTCCGATTTTCATGGATGTCCTCGTAATTTTTTAAGCTTCACCAAAGGTCCTAGTGGAAGTATGCCAAGATTGTGTACATACTAGAAATGAAAAAGGGAACTGTGTTGAACCAGCAGGGTTTCTGAGAGGACAGCTAAGGTAGGGCAAGCTGACTGTCAATCCTCCCATACAGGAGTAATAAATGCTGGTCAGGGTTCCTTCGGCCAGACGGAAGGAAGTGTGGGTGTGTACTATGATGTATTCAATCTTGACTTGCCGGGGGAATAGGAATCGATCGGACTGAGGCTCCCCAGAATGGACATGGAGCCAGGACCATTGAAAAAAAAAAAAAAAAAAGGGAACTTTTTTTTTTTTTTTTTAATGGTCCTGGCTCCATGTCCATTCTGGGGAGCCTCAGTCCGATCGATTCCTATTCCCCCGGCAAGTCAATATACTTTTTCTATCTATCTATCTATATACCTGTATACCTCCTAAAGACTAATATAGAAACTCCGACGAAACAGTTTGTCACAGCCCCTCGTTTGTTGTCCTCTTCTCTCTCTCTGCCTACGGTTTACCGGGCAGTTCTGTTTGTGACGATATATACACCTCCTAAATAGTAAATACTAACCCGCTCCTTGTGTGATGACCCCTCCGGGCCCAGCAAAAATCGCTGGCATGCGAGAGCCTAGTGGGAACCACAGACCGATCGGCAGATATTTCCACAGCCAGAGGGAAGGGAAGCGCCCAGAGGCCTGGGCGGTGGCGTCACAAGAGGTTCACCCTGCTGGGCCAAATGCAGGAAAGACAAAAAACATGGCAATGTATCTTTCCATGTTCTAGCGGGAGATTCAGTCTCATTTTGCACATTTTGAGAGCAGTGGAGCAAGTCCCTCCGTTCATTTTGGTGGAGCCGCGTTCGTTTTTCTCTTTTTTGTAATTTTCCGATCTGAATGGGCCTCGCTCCACTACTCTCCACATGCAGAAAAGAAGAAAAATATGGCAATGTATTGTTCCATGTTCTAGCGTAAGATTGAGTCTCATTTTGTGCATTTGGAGAGTCGTGGAGTGAGGCCCCCAGTTCGTTTTGGTGGAGCAGCGGCATTTCTCCCCCCCCCCCCCCCCCCCCCCCCCCTTTCTTGGTCCCCGCCGCCTCTGTGGGGGGCATGCTTTTTTTTTAATTGGGGGATTTGATAAAACCGCCACTACCTTTCAGAGGTGAAAGTAAGTCGTGAATATAACCCATAACCGCATTCGGCCAAGTCGTGAATATAACCTTATACCCCATTCTTCGGAAGCCGGGCACCACTGGACCAAAATGGCAAAGGTTTGTTTCCTATTTGTCCTGGATGTATTTGACGGCATTCTAGTGCTCAGTAAATCTTGGCGGCGCCACCCAAAAAAAACGAAAGGACAAAGGTCGTGCAGTTCTATTCCGCCTCAGCAAATCTTGGCTTGCAGTCCTATTCCGCCTCAGCAAAAAAAAGGGGAGCGAAGGTAGTGGTGGTTTAAACCGAATGCAGGAAAAAGACAAAAAATGACAGGTAACAAGGGGCGCGAAGGTAGTGGTCCCCACAGTCTACCCAGAAGCTAGAGCATTGAGATGGATGGAAGTAGTGTTAAATCTTGGAACTATTTCGTATTATCGTCTTGCATAATACAAGACATGGTGGACAGCAAACCTGCAATTTTTGGATTTTAGTTATTTCCAAAGAGTCAATGACTAGTGAAAAATGGCCGCGGGTCCCCACAGTCTAGCCAGGATGTATCAGACCACAAGTACGGCCAGACCTGCGTGTTTCGGATTGCAGTTATGTCCAAAGACTAGTGAAAAATGGCCGAATGTTAGAATGTCCTTGGGAGAGCACAACATTGGGCAAGAGTGTCCCGTGCTGTGTGCTCTCCACGAGACCGGTTGATGTCCTTCATCGACTGTGTTCTTCAGTGATGTCCTGAGCAATTCCAGGTTTAGAATTGTCGAGAAAAAAAAAAACAAAAAAAAACTGGGGGACCCACTCCACTACTCTCTCTAAATGCGCAAAATGAGACTGAATCCTGGGAACGAGTCTTCAGAAGAATCGTAGTGTGAAGTACAATGAGTGGATAGATGGGTAATTGGTGGCTCTTTGTCAAAATGGGTAATTGACGGATGGTGTATCTTGTTTTATGAGAGATGGGCCATAAGCGGTCGTCTGTGAATAGAACGTATAGAAGTGAAAACACTTTGTGAAAACGCTGCCTGTGTAAAGGGGCCTTGTTAGCTGAACAGTGCACACTCACTCGCCTTTTATCACTAATTCGTGTGCGGCACATTGGTCTTTTGCAGTCAGTGATGCCAGTTGCAATTAAGGAACTTGCAGCAGAGGAAGCTGGAAATAAAAGAAATGCGGCGTTCTGCATAGGGAAGCTCTGCGAACACGGAGGAGCTACAGCGCTACCGTATCCAGCGAGTTAAAAAAAAAAAATAGCGTTTGCCTTTGAGGGAAGACTTGTTTCAAGAGTTTGTTTTTAAACTTTTTTTTGTTGATGTCATCAGGAACATGGAGGCTCGTTAGTACATGGTATGAAGTCTTTGTGTATTTGCATTTTTAAATGATTTTTTGCTATATTAATGGGTTTCATGTGAACCGTGTTCTGTCTCGTGCACCTGATCATGTTGTGTATCTGTTAGCATTACCTATAGGTGCACTTCAGCTCTGGATTTCACTCTCCATTCACTACCTGCCGAGTCCGTGCTGATTTCGATAAGAGAAGACTTGCATTCTCCATAGGTGTACCGCAGTTCTGCATGAATAATAAATTAATAATGTATTCAAAAACTTGATTCATAAGTGGATAGAGTTTTGATTTTTGTAAAAAATGCAATTTATTTGTTTCTTCTTATTATAGAAATCACTAATCAGTCAAGTTGGCATTCTATTAAATGAATACACTGAATGGTTCCTTGCAAAGATCTCTTTTTCATTTGTTTTTTTTAGATTGTCCGATGTGATTATGTGCAATTTACTACATCTGCTTTTGGGGTAAATCTGGAACCTAGTGCACTCTCTCTCTCTCTCTCTCTCTCTCCCCCCCCCCCCCACGTGGCAGCCCTGCCGTGTGATACCTGTTTGCCACCCCGTGGATATATGACATTGTCACTCTCTCTCTCTCTCTCTCTCTCTCTCTCTCTCTCTCTCTCTCTCTCTCTCTCTCCTAGTTCACCCCTGAAGCTTGGAACCCCTCATTTTTCAACTTTGCGCTATCTGTTCAACTTGTTTGCTATATCAGTTTGAAGTCCTTGACACCATTTGATTACAGATATTACCAAAATGTGCTTGGTGCTCTCCATCCCATCTTCCAAAAGGAAGAAGAGGAACCCGCGGTGAAAGACAATGCGTGTGGAGCAGTGGCCCGTATGATCATGGCATCCCCATCTGCACTTCCTCTTGCGCAGGTAATCAAGCTTCTCTTTTTCATGTGAGAGAGGCAGGGCTGGGAGAGGGAGGGGCATCCTGAGGGATAACAAGCTGTACATATGTTTTTGCCAAAATGCGTATGTGTCTGACTGAGCAGGCAGAAGTTTCTGCTTAACATCAATTCCGAACCAGTTTAGTGTCCCTGCTTCGAGGAGAATAATCCAAGTTTTGCGTACACGTCGCCAACGACCGAAGTGCATGTGATGAACCGTGAAGGACTCACCCTTGAAATGTCGGATTGCATGTTATCGATTTCGAATGTCGGATTGCATGTTATCGATTTCGAATGTTGGATTGCATGTTATCGATTTCGAATGTTGGATTGCATGTTATCGATTTCAAATGTCGGATTGCATGTTATCGATTTCGAATGTTGGATTGCATGTTATCGATTTCGAATGTTTCAAGCCAGAAGTGCACGATCCCGCATTGCAGAACGGTCCAGCTCATGCAACTATGACCTTGACCTTTCAGAACCTCAACAGCTATGACCCCTATGCAGATATGACCCCTACTTGGACAGATCTAAGGTTCAAGACCCAACAACTACTCAGACCTAAGGTCTGGCCAGAGTGGTTGGAGACACTCGAAGAGACTCGCCAGAGTTGTAACTGTATGATATCGGGCGACTTCCTGATTGGAGTCATCCATCATGCATGAGGTCAGACAACTTTCAGCTATTAACACACAGGTCACATGTTCATGGTCGTAGCTGCTACAGTCCTGAAAGGTCAAGTCCGCAAACTTCCGGAAGGTCCGGAAGTGGCCGTGTATGGAGTGTATTGCTGTGGAAGAAGTATTGTCCGTTAAACCACCAGTGAGTAATAAGTTACTCTGTGCGTCCATTTGTGTTCACGAGTATTTTGCCCATTGGCGGTTCGGCGCACGTCCAGTAGAGATGAACTGGGTGGGGTTACATGATTCACCCAAGGACATTCGGAGACACCCTGCCTTACTGGCAGCGCACGATCGAAACAGAAACAAAACAAGAGGGAAAAAAAAAAAAAAAAAAACGATTTGGCCGCGATAGCGGTCAGGCACATTCTGGAAAGTGTGTGTGTGATTATGCCCTCAGTGAAGACCTTTGCAGAGAATGTGGCACACAGAGAGAGAAAAGAAGAAAAAGAGAGACAGATTTGGCCCTGATAGTGGTCAGATACATTCTGAAAGTACTAGTCTGAGTATGCCCTTAGTGAGGGCAGTTGCAAGCACATCGACAACGCCCTGCCTCGCTGGCAGGGCACTGTGAAGAAGAAGAAGAAAACTGAACAAAGATTTTGACGTAATCACGGCCAGATATACATTCTGGAAAGTACATGTGTGAGTTCTTTTTTTTGTCTTCTCCCTTGTCTTTTTCATGCCATCTCCTCCCACGAGGTGCAGCACTTCAGTTTGTTTTTTTTTTTGGTTTTGTTTTTTTCTTTTTTCTTTTTTTGTGGCACTTCAGTTCCAAGGGAGGCTGGTGCCAGTAGCTCCCTCAAAGAAAGCAACGACGTGCCTGCAGGCTTGGGAAGATGCAAGTTTTGGGTTGACAATGTAGCTTCGGCTGGACTGGTGATTTAAATGCTGCATCTGTGTGGAATCAATGCAGAAGCTAGTTAATCAGATAAAAGAGTACCACCTCTCTTCCTCTTGTGCTCTCAACAATTGTGATCGTTTTGTTGAAATTTGTTCAAGTTGTATAGGTGGAGTGTAGCCCCTTTCTGTTGACATTTTTTGGCACTCAAAACTTTAAAGTTTTGGCAGTTTGGGATTCGCAAGAGGCGCACCCAAATAGTCTAGATTGTGTGCGAATGCAGAATGCAGTTTTCTGTGACCGGTGTTTTAACTTAAGTTTTAACTTTTCAAGTTTTAAAATGTTCTACTACACTTGATTTGCCCGTTTGCAGGTACTGCCTGTTTTTATCAGTGGTCTTCCGCTGAAGGAAGATATGGAAGAGGCAGAGTCGAGCTATGGCTGCTTGTGCAACCTTATACAAGCTGGATGTGCTGAGGTGAGACTGGATCCGAAGCACAGATACAACTCCTGCACCTGTTTCTCCATCTCCCCTTCTCTGTGCGCACGTTTGTCTGCGTGCGTGTATTTGTGAACTCTGCTTGTATATGTCTGCGTACTACGTGCGTGTATTTTTGTGCATGACGCCGCCATATGCATGTCCGACATTGTCCGTATGTTGTGCAGTCCCTACACCATATTATGTATCTGTATGTGTATTTTTGTGCATGACACCGTATGCATGTCCGACATTGTCCATATGTTGTGCACTCCCTACACCATATTATCTTTGTATGAGAGAGAGAGAGAGAGAGAGAGAGAGAGAGAGAGAGAGAGAGAGAGAGAGAGAGAGAGAGAGAGATTTGTGGGCATCCTCAATGGATGTTGTTGATGCTATCCTGCGGCGGGCATCCTCTTGTGCATCATATTAAAGGGTGACTGCCTTGAGTTATCATCATCGGACTGGCCGGGCCCAGGTGGTTCCGAGCTATTGTACTCGTCTGGTTCCATCGGGACTCACTGAGGTCTTCTTACCAACAGTTCTGAGTGAGTCGTGATGGAATGAGACGAGCGCAATGACTCGGTTCATGGGGTTCCATTCTGGGGGGTACCTTTGTGGTCCCTGGATGGTACCATTTGGCCTTTGCGCGGTTTGTGAACTCCAAACACATGCCCCTTCTCTTCTGGGGCGCTACAGTCCGGTTACTTCTCACCGGCAAGCAAAGCTCGGAGTCAGATACGGAACGGAAGTGAGAAATGCCCGATACCCCAGTGTGCCCGAGCCGATGTTGGGGGGGGGGGCGCTGTGGGGGGGTGTCGTTAGACCCATTGCAGATTTTGCAGTGTTGGCAAAGATTTGGTTGTTTAGACGGTTTCTCGATTGCTTTCGTTCACACTTGCTTTCTGTTTTTTGAAAATTTTCTGAGTATGGCGAATTGGTTGGCTTACGGTCGTTCACAATTGCTTTCTGTTTTTTGAAAATTTTCTTTTTTTTCTCCTTAGTTTGGACGGTTTCTCGATTTATGTGCATCTTCTTTGCGGAGAGGGCAATGCTAATGTTCTCTGTATCGTACTATATTGTATTGTTCCACGTTGAACGGATGTCCCTACGGGCATTCACGATTGCTTTCTTTCAAGTTTTAAGAGTGGGGTCTTATTTTGCGGAGTGAATTGGGCACTGATTTTGCCAAAACTTGGAAAAAATGCAGATCCTTCCGCACATACCTCAAGTTGTGAAGGTTTTTGGCGAAGTGGTGACTCAGGCCGATGTTCCGGAGCAAGTGAAAGGAGGGATTGGTTCCACCGTCAAACTGTTGTATAATCAGTACATGGAGCAAATGCAGCCAGTTTTGAGCAGTCTGCCTCCTGAGCATGCGCAGGCGCTTTCTGATCTGGTGGGAAGGGTTTGAATCTTGAAAGTGAATTGAAAATGTCAGCGAACAGGCGGAGCATACGTGGCAGAAAGGAGGTGATTTCTGACATCCAAACGGATCGATCACGACACTAAAAAAAAACGGTTTTTGAGGGGTACGTTGCTCTCTGTGGGTGTTTTGCGTCATCATCTCCTTGTGGTGCCGCAGCGAGGATTCCTAAAGGTACGTTGCCCAGGGCCCCAGAACAACTGAGGGTGTTTTAGATGGGTTCAGCAACAACAGAGGCTAGATGGTTTTCCGTAGCCTCTCCGGGGGGAGGGGAGAGGGGGTCTCTTATACACATCTAGATGTGTATAAGAGACAGGTGTGTGTGTGTGTGTGTGTGTGTGTGTGTGTGCGTGTGTTGTGGAGAGGGGGCACAGAGTAATGTCGGATTTTCCTAGAAGGTAATGAAAAATATTGCCTCCTTTTGGTAGGTTTGTTGGTTCGGCCACTGTTTCGTCTTGCCAAAGCCTCTCGTGCAGGGGAGAGGCTTTTTCTATTCCCACTTCACGTCCCCTTCCAAATGTACCTTTTCATTTTTTTTTTTTTGCAGGCTATGAGAAAGTGGTTGGAGTTTTGAAGTCCCCCTTTCATCACATGATTCCTTTGCATAAGACGAGATCACTTTGCCAGCGAGTAACACACAGGAACACACACAAGCAAAAAAAAAAAAAGAAAAAAAGAAGGAACACACACAACAAGCATATGGTTGGGCACTTCATCAACCTGCAAATTGTTGTTGTTGCATAAAGAAAAGAAGGAAAGACACGCAAGCAGAAACATGGGTGCGCTTTCAACATCATCATTTGAAATGGTGTCAAGTCTCGAGTGTGAATTCAGCGTCATCAACAGGCGCAGAAGAGCATCACCCAAGTCAGTCAAGTCTGTCAGGGACTGACCGACAGACTGCACTTCCAACGCTGCTTTCAACAGTGTTTTTTTGAAGTGGTTAAGTTCAGATTGCGAATTTAGTGTCATCGATAGGTGCAGAAGAGCGCATATCAGCCTAGCGCAAGGATCTGAAAATGGAAATTGTTCTGAGTCAAAGTGCTACAATAATTTCAGTTCTTGAAGGCCCAGCAGTGACGGGAAGGCCTTGTTGATTTTTTTTTTTTTCACCTTTTGGTCCCGGCTCCACATCCACTCTGGGG